AGTCTTCACAACTAAACCGTTTCTGTCCTGTGTGAACTATCATGTGTCTGTTTAAAGTTGACATATATCCAAACCTTTGTCCACAAAGATCACAAAAAAATGCTTTCTGTCCTGTGTGAATTATAATGTGTGACTTTAGATGACTCTTTGTGTTGAATCTTTTTCCACAGTCTTCACAACTAAACTGTTTCTGTCCAGTGTGAACTCTCATGTGTGTGTTTAAAGTTGACTTATGTCCAAACCTTTGTCCACAAAGATCACAAACAAATACTTTCTGCCCTGTGTGAATTATCATGTGTTTCTTTAGATGACTCTTTGTGGTAAATCTTTTTCCACAGTCTTCACAACTAAACCTTTTCTGTCCTGTGTGAACTATCATGTGCGCGTTTAAAGTTGACTTACGTCCAAATCTTTGTCCACAAAGATCACAAGCAAATGTTTTCTGCCCTGTGTGAATTATCATGTGTGTCTTTAAATTACTCTTTCTGTTAAATCTTTTTCCACAGTCTTCACAACTAAACTGTTTCTGTCCTGTGTGAACTATCATGTGTGTGTTTAAAGTTGATTTATATCCAAACCTTTGTCCACAAAGATCACAAACAAATGCTTTCTGTCCTGTGTGAATTATCATGTGTGTCTTTAGATTACTCTTTGTGTAAAATCTTTTTCCACAGTCTTCACAACTAAATGAGTTCTGTCTTGACGTTTTTTTCTCGACTGAGCATCCACTTTTCTTCACTTCAAAACATTCCTTGACAACCAAACAACTTGAAGACATCATTGACTGACTTTTCTTGTGAAATTGTTTCCCATGCTCAGTGAAGCTGCAAGACTTCTTGACGGTGTTTACGTCTGACTCAGGAGCTCTGCTCTCCTTCCAGTCTTTGTCACCATCTTCAGGTTCTGACCCAGAGTCTGAAAAGTATTTTAGCTGAGAGTCAGAGTCATTCACATCATCACCTTCATCATCCTCACTGACTTCAGTCTCTGAAGAGCTGCAATCATCTCCATAAGTATTTAGTTCTGGGTTCCTGGTAGTCTCTGTTCCTTCACAGTCCTCTCCACCAGTTGCTGCTTTCATCTGGTCAGCTGTGCTGCTGGTTGGAAGATCGTCCTCTTTTACTTGGTGCTGATGAAGCTGTAAAAACAGAGGTTTCTCTTCATCTTCCTCACTCTTCAAAGGAACAGCAGTGAATGCAAACCCAGTGTCATCAGTCTCTTTTTTCACACAAAACTGCTCTCCCTCTTGATTGGTCCACAGTTCCTCCTCTTCCTCCTTTATGTTGAGGGTCTCTGGATCCTGTTGGTCCACACCAAGAATCCGTACTTCAGGAGCTTCTTCTTTAATCAGCACCATCTGCTGAACATCTGCAGGGAACACAGAAAACACAAACATCAGGCACATTTATAACTTTATATTCACACATACAGTGGTGGCTAAAAGTTTGTTAAGTCTTTAAAACCTTCTCAATTTCTGCATAAAAATGACCTAAAACATCATCAGGTTTTCACACAAGTCCTAAAAGTAGATAAAGAGAACCCAGTTAAACAAATCAGACAAAAATATTATATTGTAATTGCCACTGTATAAGCTACTACTTTTGTCTCACATTTTGTATCCCATGGTTTATATGCAGGAGCGTCTTATTTATGTATTTTTTTCACAATTTTCAAAATTTGTATTTTTTTATTTTATTTTCAAAGAGTCCTTCCTGCCATCTCTCAGTAACTTCCTGCCACTGACTAAGATTTTCCTTTGACAAGGCTGGGTGCTCATGGCTTCCAACACCCCACCCCTGATGGGGGCAGGCATGTGTGACACCACAGGAGTGGGCATGCCAAAGACACCATCTTAGCACCAGCATAATTGGTTTGTTCCACTTTGGAGTAAGCTGTTTTGGTGAAGAATCAGTTTTGGTTTGTGTGTTTCCTTGACTGCTGAATGAAGCTTTCCAGATGGAAGGTGAAACGTTTCAGAAAAAAAAGAAACTGTCCAGATGACCTGACTGAAAATTGTTGGACATTTTAAAGATGTATTTGGACACCCAGATAACAAACCTTTGCAATAGTCCATTGTAGGCATGACAAATGCAAGAACCAGTTTTTCTGCATCATTTTTAAATTAGATGTTTCTAATTTTAATGATATTACGCAAGTGGAAGAAGGTAGTTCTAGTAACATTCTTAATGTGGGTGATAAAAGACATGTTCTGATCAAAAATAACTCCAAGATTTTTAACATTAGAACTGTAGGCCAGATTATTGCCATCTAAGGAGGGTGAAAGACTGAAAAATTAATTCCCAAGGTGCTCAGTCCAAAAACCAAAACCTCAGTCTTGTTTGTGTTCAAAAGGAGAAAATTTAGGGTCATACAAGTTTTTATGTCTTTAAGACATGCTTGTAGTCTAAGTAGCTGATTGGATTCATTGGGTTTTATGGATAAATATAATTTTGTGTCATCAGTATAACAATTTAAATGTATTCCATGCTGTTTAATAATTTTACCTAATGGAAGCATATACAGTATAAAGTAAAGAGTTTTCGTCCAAGCACTGAGCCCTGAGGAACTCCATGACTAACTCTGGTGTATGAAGAAGATTTATTATTTACATTTAGAAACTGTAATCTATCAGTTGGATAGGATTTAATTCATTTTTGAGCTGTTTCTGTAATCCCAATATCATATTCAAGCCTCTGTAGTAAAATATTGTCATCAACTGTATCAAATGCAGCACTGAGGTCTAACAGAACCAGTATAGACACAAGTCCATTGTCTGAAGCCATGAGAATAACATTAGTGACTTTTACTACTACTAATAATAATAATACATTTTATTTGAAGGCACTTTTCAAAACACTCAAGGTTACCAAACAAGAAATACAAGATAAAAAAACCAATAATATACAGATAAATAAAATCAAATGCTAATAATGATAAAATACATAATGACATTAAAAAGAATAAGCAAGTTTGAAAAAGTGAGTTTTAAGGTTAGATTTAAATGAGGGCAGAGAGTCAGAATTACGGATGTGCCATGTGGAAGAGAGTTCCAGAGACGAGGGGCTTTGCGGGAGAAGGCTCTGGATCCCATGGTTGTTAAGGGGGCAGGAGGTATTACAAGAGAGATGGATAGAGAGGAGCGAAGACTTCGGGTAGGTGTGTAATAGCAAAGAAGATCAGTGAGGTACAGAGGTGCCAAGTTATGGAGAGATTTGAAAGTGAGGAGGAGAATCCAAAACAGCTCAATCTGGTCCTCTGGACATTCAAAAAAAAAATTAAAAAAAATAAAACAAAGCAAAAAAATCTAGAAACGTTTCGTCTCTCATCCGAGAGACTTCCTCAGTCTGAGGTGCTGTTTTCAGCTCAGTCTCTTAAATAGCACCTTCTCAGAGTGGATCAACCAGTTTTGCTGCTGACAACCAAAACCAGCTGATCACATGCTCAAGAAGGACCATCAGCCTAACAATGGATCATTAGCACACTGATGGCTGTTTACTGTTCACAGAGGGCTGAGTGATACTAGCAATCACAGCATTGTAAGAGGGGGACAATTGAACCCGGAGGCCTCCACCCATGTTTAATGATGGACGATTTCTTTTCACAAAGATGGCCTCCTGTACTCCTCTCTCAAACCATCGTTCCTCTCTGTCCAGGATGTGAACATCTTCATCCCTGAAAGAGTGACCGCTGGCCTGGAGATGAGTGTAGACCGCAGAATCCTGGCCTGATGATGTTGATCTTCTGTGCGGGGCCATCCTTTTGGCCAGTGGCTGTTTTGTTTCCCCGATGTAAGACTGATCACAGCCCTCCTGACACTGAACAACATACACAATATTACTCTGTTTGTGCCGGGGGACTGGATCTTTGGGATGAACCAGTCTTTGCTGTAATGTATTTTGGGGTTTAAAAGCCACTGGGACGTTATGTTTAGAAAATAAACGTCTCAGTTTCTCTGATACTCCCTCAACATACGGAATGACCACTGGTCTGGGTCTGGGTTCCTCCTTTTCACCTGATGGCTGACTGGAGTCCTGTTTGGGTTTCTTCTCTGCTTTCAGGAAGGCCCAGTTAGGATATCCACATTGCTCAAGAGCCTGTCTTGTGTGGGATTTCTCCTTCTGCCTGGCTCCCGAGCTAGTGGGGACGCTGTCTGCTCTGTGATACAGAGTCCTGATGACTCCGAACTTGTGCTCCAAAGGGTGATGGGAGTCAAACTGCAAATACTGGTCTGTGTGGGTGGGTTTGCGGTACACCTCAGTTTGCAAATGTCCTCTATCAGAGACTGAGACCTCACAGTCCAAGAAAGCCAACTTGCCATTTTTTACATCTTCTCGTGTGAACTTGATGTATTTATCCACAGAGTTGATGTGGTCAGTAAAATGTTGGACTTCCTGAGATTTAATTTTAACCCAGGTGTCGTCAACATACCTGAACCAATGACTTGGTGGTGTCCCTGAAAAGGACGTCAAGGCTCTCTTTTCTACCTCCTCCATGTACAGGTTGGCAACAATAGGAGAAACTGGAGACCCCATAGCACACCCATGTTTCTGTCTATAATATTTGATATGATAATTATTTTTATGCTTTTATGTCAATTTATACTTAACTTATTTGTAATTAACTAGGAACTTGTGCTGCAGAAGACATATACTCAAGAGGAATGCAGTGTTAAACCTCTGTGTGTTCTGACTGTGAAACTTGGCCCGTTTTTTCAGATACAACACCCAGAGTTTCCTGAAAAGCATGTTTTTCTCTATCAGGCTTGCATACCACAGCCTTGGTTCTGCAAAACATGTTTTTGTGAGTTATTGTTCTGGAGCACAATTATCTTGGTAAACCGGTAAACATGTTTTGCTGCTCGCACGCGATTCAGGAGTTTCAAGGTATAAAAGGTGTAACACTCAGAGAAAAGATAGAGTCTGCTGAGGTTTCCGATCGCAACGCCCAGCTGTTTTGATGTCTGCCGTTAACTGGATCGTTCAGGCTCTCCGATCTAAGTGTCACGGTGAGAAGCATTGCATCATTACTTTGTGTTTGTACTGAATGTACATTGTTTGGCTGTTATCTGTGGCAGATTAATAAATGACACTATTATTCTAGCAGAAACAGTCTCTGGCTTTTATTCATTATACCGACTCTTCTATTATCCTGCAACTTATTTAAAAGGGATTTCACAGAACATTTTCTTGGCGTCACGAGCAGGATATGAAAGAGCTGTATAATGTTTAAAACAAAGAATAAAAAGGGGAAAGATGATGAGACTAAAGTTGAAGAGGTTGTGCCGGGGTGGGATAAGCCCCCGTTTCAGTTAATAGCATTGTGTTTGCGAGGTGGAGGGGGACGCCCCGAACCTTGGAATGATTTATTAAAAGCAGAGAATCCAGATGGTGTTTTAACCGCTTTGCGGGTCATAGAGGTTAAAAAGAAAATGCAGGTGACTGGACTTCAGCGCAGAATGTGGGTGTGTGCTACTGTTTGGAAGAAACTGCAGGAAGAGAATCAGGAAACAGGAATGCAAATGTTGAGAGACAAACAAGTGCTTGAGGAAGCGCAGTCAGCTTGTTTATTGAGTAATCAGCATGTGAGGCTTCTGACTATGCAACTTG